TCTCTCTCCAGGGAGCTGGGGGGCTTAGGGAGATAATGGACAGGAAAGCCCTGGATAAGACCCCTTAGAGAAAGGAAGGAGTATTCCTTTTTGGAAGCCCCAATCTCAAAAAGGTTTAGTCCATCCTTTGTGAGGTCTCATACCAGTTAGCTTGAACCTCACACATACATTTAATACTTTGGCACCAAAAGCTTTTGGCCTATCCTAAAGGCCAACTTCTCTTTCAGAGATCCAGCAGAATTGCTGAAGACCCCACTCTGGCCTCAGTAGTCATGGCAGGGCTGCCCCATCCTGCTGGGCCAGAAGGGAGGAGAGGCTGCTGACCATTGGGCCCAGACCAAGGGCTTTCCCTTTTTTTTCTTTATTAACTAAACAACACCTTCTCTTTCTTCCTGGCAACACTCTGCAGCTCTCTGCTGGTTCCCTATGTGCCCCCAACCCTGGCCTTGTAGTCTCCATCTGGGGCTGAGGCCCTTGAATTTCGGTGGCTCCAGTGATGCTTTCTGCTTTCTCTCTGCACCTCATACTTGCTGAGCATCCCCCTACCCCAACCCCGGAGGCAGCCAGTGTTCCTGGCACTTTCACATTCGTTATTATCTCACAGAGAAGGTCAGGAGGGTTAATTATTGGTGTCAACATTATGAACCTTGTTACTACTCTTAAAGATAATATTCATTAACAGCTGTATTTTGAAATTCTCATTGCCTCAACACTAGTGGTTTTCCACTCTTGCTACACATTACAATTACCTAGAGAGCTCTTGCAAACCACCCATACCAGACACCCTCCTTAGCCTAATTAAATGAGAAGCAAAGTGCAGTCGTTACCCTCCATCAGGGGTAATTACCTCTCCATGTCTTTGTATGCAGTGGGTACCAGTCCTTGACACACAAAAAGAATCAGCAGAAGAGCTTGGTCAATATCCAGCCCCATCCCTCCCATCCTGAGGAAGGCCTGACAATTGTAGTATCCTTTTAAATTTTCGAGAAGTTGTTTCTTCCTGTACTCTACTTCCATCTCCACCCCATTCTTTCTACAAGCCCATTTTTCTCAAGTCACCATTTCTCAAAATATACTCTATAGTGATAGTGGGGGAGTTGTGGGAAATAGGGGAGTTAGTGACTGTGGTTGGCTGATAATGGCTCCCAAAGATCTGTCTGGTCCTAGACCCTGGAACCTGTGAATGTTATCTCATTTAGAAATAGGGTCTTTATAGATGTAATTAAGTTAAAGATCTTGAGATGAGGAAACTATCCTGGATTGTCTGGGTGGGCCCTAAATGCCAACACAAGTGTCTTCATAAGAGAGAGACCGAGGAAGACTAGACACACAGAAGAAGGGGAGGCCATATGAAGATGGAAGCAGAGATTGGAGTGATACGGTCAGGCATGCCGACCAGCAGCCACCAGAAGCTGGAAAAGGCAAAGAATGGGTTCTCGCCTAGAGCCTCTGGAGGGAATGTCGCCCTGTCAACACCTTGATTTTGGACTTCTGGCCTTCAGAACTGTGAGAGAATAAATTTCTGTTGTTTTAAGCCATCCAGTTTGTGGTAATTTGTTATGGCAGCCTTAGGAAGCCAATACGGTGACTAAATGAGTTTGGTGACTCTTGTCTTTATAGCAGAACTTCCCCAAAACTTTCCGATGCTAACGGGCACTGTTTCCCACACACAGGCCCTGGACAAGTGCTCCCAGAACACGCCTTATGCTAGGTCACATGCTAACCAGCAGCTATGACCCAAACTCACAGCATTGCAGGTCATATGCGTGCAAGACCGTTATGCATGAGAGAGTTATATCCATACATATGTGTACATCATGTATCTACCCTTTCAGAACCTACTATCCATTCATTTATGAACTCATTCAATAAATATTTCTGAGCACCGACTATGTGTCAGAAACTATTCAAAGCATTGGGGATATAGTGATTAAAAAAACCAAAATCATATCGCTTGTGAAAAGTTATTCTAATGGAGTAATCAGTCAATAAACAAATAAGCAAATAAACAGCAGGCTGTGATGAATGCCATGAAGAATATAAAGTGCGCTAAAGGGATAGAGAGGGATAGGGGGCTACTTTGCAGTGGGTGTCAGAGAAGGCCAGGCATTTCACCAGATTTGCCTAAATTAATCTCATGTAATCCTCTCAACAACCAACTCATCCTTGTCATGTGAAGTAGGTAATATCTCCACTTTGCAGATGGGGAAAATGAGGCTCAGAGAAGTGAAGTGATTTGCCCAAATCATATAGCTATTAAGTGGCCAATATAAGATTGAAACCCTGGCCTGTCAGACACCAAACAAAGCCCATTTACTACTACCATGCTACAGGGTTCCTGTGCTCAGCTGGACTCCCATTGAGATCCTCCAGAGCCCGCCTTGGCCTTTCTATTCCTGTTTAGTGATTCCCAGTGGAATGAATAGTTCCGAAGGTGAGAAGGCTGGAGGCAGGAGATCAGATAGCAAAGGGTACTACTTCTAGTCAGAGACTTGCCCTGCAGAATTACTTCAACCTATTTCTATGTTTGGAAGGTAGGCAGAGGTACCGAAACTTCCTGCTTCCTCCCTTGGGTCTTCTCACCTCTCCTTTCTGTCCTGCCCCATCACCTGGGGCCCTCAGGGCAGAGCTACAGGGTCCAGCTAAAGGGACTTTTTATGCCTTCATGGTTCTGAGCTGCACTTCTGAATCCTGGATGGTGGATAGGACTCTGGCAGAGACCAGCCAGGCAGTGGAAACTCGGGGTATGCTTGCAACAGCATGTGACCCAGTTTGGCTAGAATGTAAGATGCACAAAGCAGAGTGGAGAACTAGGCTGGGCAGGAGGCTGGGGCCAGATCATGGAAGGTCTTGAAGGCCAGGCCAGGCGAACAGCCTCCATTCTCTGGGCTGGTGTTTGCCAAAGTGTGTCCTGCAGACAACATGTGTTTTGGGATAATAATAGCAGTAACAGGAAGGGGTGTTATGTGAGAAAGTAAAGGTTCCTTGTCAATAAGTTGGAGTTCAGAGGCCAAATGGATCCCTTTTATGCCAGACTTCCCAGACCTGACATGAGGGCAGAGGGCCAGCCGAGGGGCCACAGTGGATGCCATCCTCACAGCAAAGATGGATGGAGACCCACTGGAGGCAGACTGGGCTGGGCGTGGCCAATCAGTGCTGTGGATTCCGGCTCTAAATCACCTTCTCTCTCCCCTCCGTGCCACCCCTGCTACCCCACTTCAGCTAACACTCTCTCTCCCTCTAACTTGTCTCCTTGCAGCTACCTGCCCACAGACTATCTCCCCTCTTCCAATCTTTCCCTAACCTCACCACCTCCATCCTCCTCACCCATCCCATCCTGTGCATCTTTGTACGCAAGCGTTTGTCTAGCTATACTATAAGCTACAGTAATTTATAAATACTCTGGATAGTGATGTGAAAGACAGCTATTCACTAGCAAATATGCCAAAAACTCATCTGAGTTCCACAGAAGTTTTGTCCTAAGCCATCCTCCAAAAAATCTAGAATTTTTCAAAATAGCGTTTGCTTTTTTTCTTTTCCTTTCTTTTCTTTTCTTTTCTTTTTTTTTAAACCCAGACAGGCTCAGGTTTGAGCTTTACCACATTGTTGGTTTCCATGGTAACCACCCCTAGTTCTGCACTCCTGCCCTTCGTCTTCTGTCCTGGTGCCCAACTGTGGAATGCATGAGGCACTCCCTTGTTCCAGGAAGGGGCCCTGCTGTGGTTTCCGCCCCAGCCCCTGCACTGGCTCAGCCACTCTGGAACCATGGCTGGGGATTTGTATAGTGAACAGCATACCCCTTCGCCAGGGCCAGCCTCAGGCTCCTCTGCTCCTTTTAAAGTCACATAGTGGCCTTTTCAAACCCAAAACAATACAGCAGCGTGGTGAAGAGTGTAGGCTTTGAAGCCAGACTGTTTGATTTGAAATCCAGGCTCTGTCACTTATTAGCTGTTTAACCGTGGGCAAGTTACTTAACCTTTTTGAGTGTGTTTCCTCATCTTTAAACTAGGAATAAAAATAGAACCTACCTCAAAGGCTTGTTATGAGGATATGTATGTGTGAAGTGCTTCAAACAGCACCTGGCACACAGTGAGTGCTACGTAACGTTCCGGATTACTGTTACTGCTGGTGCTGCCGCGTGTCAGGTTACCGACAGGCATTTTGGCTGAGTCAGCAGTTACTGCAGTATTCTTCGAGTGAGGACCGTGTGGGCATCACAGGGAAAGTATGTTTTCAGTTGGGTGTCTCCTCAAGCTCCTTTTAAGTCCTGACCCACAGAAGCAATGCCCAGCTTCTAGGCCCAGTTCCTTCCACACCCACAGCTCAGAGTAGACAGCCCACTCAGCTGGGGTTTGCATCTGGAAGGGACCTCCACCCCAATTACTCATGAAGTCTTGGGCACTGAACTCAAACTGGCATTCAGGCCCCACAGCCAAAGGCGTCAGCACTTTAACCAATTCTGCAACTCAGACAGGGCCGAGGCTTAGGCTTTCCAGTTTAGGGTGTGTGGTACCTCAATGCAAATAAAACTGCCCCCGTGGGTGTGCCCAGTCCCGGGAGGACCTCAGCAGCCACAGTGAGGAGGTTAGCTAACAATTCACGTGCCAGGCATCGTTCTGAGTACCTTTACATATACAGCGTACTGACCCTTGTCATTTGGAAAGAGAAAACAAGGCACAGAGAGGTGAAATAACCTGCACAACGTCACACAGCTAATAAACGGCAGAGCCAGGAATCCAATCCAGACAGCCTGCTCCAGAGTCCATGTTCTTACCTTGGGGCCAGCTCGGCTCTGGCTGGACAAGCACCCATGCCTGTGTCTGTGCAGATGACTTAGTGACTAGTTGGAGAAATATGGGCTCAAGGCTAATAGGAGGTGGGCCCTGGGTCATGGCTGCCCTGCAAAGGACACGTGGACAAAGCCTCCAAGGCCAACACCACATTCTGTTGGGATTTAGGAAGTTCATTTGGCTGGCTGAGGAATTTTTCCAGAAGGCCAGAGAGTGTAGGCAGGTAGAGTCTAGACCAGAGTCAGGCCCATTATCAAGGGGTCTTATGCAGAGTCCCAGGAGGGCAGCTTAAAGCACAACTGGGAACCCTCCAAGGTAAGGACCCAGAGAGGAACACTACTCAGCAGCTTCTGCTGAAAGGAGTACCTTGGGGTGGGCACCGTGGTTTCCAGGCTGTGTCTTTTCCTCTTCATGGGAGCCCAGCAGCCAAGAACCCCGGCCCAGACCACCTGCTCCTCAGGGACAGCAGCCTTCCTGGCAGGGCCCACCTGGCTTTGCAGACCCACTGCCATTTGGGAAAAAGAACTCCAGGCTCTCAGCTGGTGACACCCTCTGAAGGACACAAGCCCCAATCCCTTCTATTCAGCCAGTCTGAGCCAAGGATGGAGTCGCCCTGAGAACCTCAGACACAACCTATATTCCTTGAGGGGCCCTGAGTGGCTTGGAGAAGGATCACGTGGGCTGCTAATGCCTTCCACCTGGTGAGCAGGCAGCACTTCGCTTCCTGGTTCAAAAGGCTGCAGGGCAAGTTGGGAGGAACTCAAGTCTGAGAGGTTGGAGCTAGCCAGACAATGGGAAAGGAGAGAAGCCCAGGAATACGGAAGCGAAGTGAGGCTGGCGGGGAGTAGAGGAGGCGACTGAGCTGTGGGAGGAAGCAGTGCTTCCTGGGGATGAGGCCAGAGGCCACGGCCAGGGAGCGTTTGTTCCCAGGCAGCCTTGGCCCCACCTTCTTCTCACAAGGCCTCCAAGTGGGTCCTGGGAATAGCATCTGACACCAAACCCATCCTGCGTGAGAGAGATTCTTTCAGTAACTTTTAACTTGATATAATTTCAAACTGACAGAAAACTTGCAAGAATAATACAAAGAACTCCCTTGTACTCTTTCCCCATAGCACCAATTATTAGCATGGTGCTCCGTTTGCTTTCTCCTCTGTGCATCCCCTCTTGCTCTGCATATTCGTTTTCCAAGTCATGTGGAAGTCAGTCGTGACAGCCCTTTACCCCTAAATACCTCAATGTGTATTTCCTACAAACAAAGACATCCTCTTACATTGTCAAAGTTGGCAAAATAGCATGGATATAAGGTTTTTATCTAATCCCCAGGCCATATTCAAATTTCATCAATTGTTCCAGTTTTTTAGCTCAATTTTATTTTCCTTTCTGATGGCTTTTTAATCATACAGCTAATACATGAATACAGACTCCATGTAAAACATTACAGATAAGGCCAAAGTAGTCCTCTTTGAACACCACCCTCGATCCCAGTCCCTCTAACCTTAAAAGGTGTCGTGGTGTAACGGGTAAGAGCATGAAATCTCTGCCACTTGCTGGCTGTGTGGCTTTGAGCGAGTTCCTTAATCTTTCTGTGTTTCTGTCATCTGTAAAATGAGGATGATAATAGTAAGGATGTCACAGTTCCTACATAGTTGTCCATAGTAAATGAATTCATCCCAATAAAGCTTTTAGAATACTGCCTGACACATAGTTAAGTAATCAATAAACGTCACCTGTTCACTGTGGGAGTGATTGGGACTCAAGAACCCATCAAGGTCAGGCTTCCATACTCGGATTTTTGCGCCTCGATAATGTTGCCACCTGCACCTCTGGAGAGTCTGGACAGGCCTGAGCTGAGATGGAGTCCCAGGTACAAGGGGAATGGGAACAGCTGCACGCTGATCACAGAGATGGGGAATTTTCCACGCCAGGCCTTCAGGAGCTGGACCTGTGATGGAATGGAGGCTTCTGGGAGCACCACAGATTCTCCTGGGGGCGTGCAAAAGGGGTCTGGCGCTCTGCAGATTTTTGCTTGGTCCTCCAGGCCCCTTATCCTGGAAATTATGACATTTCTTCTCCCTGGTAAGTGGGGAGGAGCAGGGCGAGAAGAATGCGGATGCAGTAAGGTTTACCAAAGCCCCCTGTATGGCACAAGCCCCGCTGGGTGAGCACCTGCCCTCCCACAAGATGTGAGGCCACGTGGTGAGTAAGATGTGGCTCCTGAAAGAACCAGTCCTTGGGGGGCGGGGGTCTCAGCCCCAGCGATCAGTATAGCAGATTAGAAAGCAGCCTGGACAGGAGTCTTGTCACAGACCCTACTGGCTGACTAGCCTGAGACAAGTCACTTCACTTCTCCGAACTCCCATCTTCATTCTGCAAAATGGGTATGGTGACCTCTGCCTCCCTGGGTGGCTGAAAGGTTTAAAAGAGATCATGTGTATGAAAGTAAGGGCTTGCTGAATGGAAGCTATTTTCGTTTAATAGTTCCCAGGTGCTGCCGGGGACAGGATGGCACGAAGGTCATTGTGCTTGGTGGAAGGGCTTAGATCCTGAACTACTCTCTAGCCCCCTCTACCCTCCTGCTCTCACATGTACCTTCTGTTCCAACCAGACTTACTGCCCCTGGGCTGACAAGCTCTTGCCTTGTTATCTGCTGTTCCCGGCCTGAATTGCCTTGTCTCCCTTTGCCGCCTGACAAATGGAGCAACTTCCTCCTTCCCTGGTCCCAAAAAGAATGAGCGCCCCCATAGCTTGGGGACTCACCCTCATGCGCCTGGACTGCCTAGGCCCCAGCCCATGGCCCCAGCACTTAGAACGGGCTTGCTTCCCACTCCCTGAGTAGGGCTCAGAGCTGCAGAAGAGGGGAAGCGGAGAGGGCGGTCTCCAGGCCCTGCGCCTCACTGTGACTTAAGCCCTCCTTCTCTTGGGAAATTCAGGGCCAGCAGAAGGAAGCCCAGAGTCCCAGCACTCTCTAGGGTAGACCCATACCCCTTCCTGGGGCTAGGATTCTTCTCAATTTTGTGTAAGAAAGGCTCTGCCCCAGCTTAGGCCACTGCCTGAGCCCCACAGGAAGCTGCTCCCCTGACAGCCTGGGGCTGGCAGCTGAGTCCAGGGACTTATAGAGCAGGGCTCCAAGGTGCATTCTGAGGAGCTTTGAAAGGCTATGAGGCAGCAGACACTGAGAGGGAGGAGGGGGAAACGGCCCCCTTCCCTGGCTGGCCTGACAGACAGCTGTGGAGGCCCTCCTTCCTGTGAGGGACTAGGCCCAGGGCTCAGACCTCTGAGCCTCCCATCTCCCCAAACCACAGCCTAGAGGTGTGAAAGAAATTAAAAAAAAACAGGGGAGGGGTAGCAGAGAAGAGACAGGTGCACATTTCACACCTTGACCACAGGTGGGGCCCGAAGTAGCTTCACTCTGACTAACTTCCTCCTCAAGCTTCCCCACTGGCTGCTTGGGAGGGCAGAAGCAGGAGTGCGCATCTACCAGAACTCAGAGTGCAGGCCTCTGGCTAGGTGGGTCTCCCCAAGGGCTGGGCCTGCTTCTGATCTGGTCTGGGGGCTGCTTGGGACAAGAGAGGACCAAATTAGAGGGCCAGACAAGGGCTTGCCTTGGCACCATGACACAGGCATCTTCCAAGGCATCTGAGCTGTGAAAGACAGCAGAAGCCCAGCGCAGATCTGCCATTCTGAGGCCTGGGAGGGGTTGGTTTGGAAAGTTACAGGAAGGGGAGGAAACTGCTGCTCACTGGGCACCTCCCCTGTGCCAGACACTTTCCACATGTATCAGTTGCAGTCCACAGAGCAACCCTATCACATGTAGCCCTACTTTTCAGACGAGGAAACCGAGGCAGAGAGGTAAAATGATTTGCCTGAGATTACACAGCTGGGCAGCCAGAGGATTAGGCCAGGACTGGCCAAACACTCCCAGCTAAGGCAAGGGGCAGCCTTTCTGGAGGACCTGCCATCTGGCCAGGTCCACAGCTGCATGCCCCACAAGGCAGCACACTCTATCCCGGGGGTCCCCTGACATGAAAGGCTCTTGGTGACTTGAGGTTTGTAGCCAATATCCCTCGCCCTCAGCATTCTCCACTGTGCTCCCAAGTGTTGGGCCCTGTGCCGGGGGCCTTACAGCCTTGGTTATCTCAGTTCATCTCATAACAACCCTGCTGGGAGACCAGCTCAAAATGGTCATGTCATTTGTCCAAGGTCACACACCTCGACAGGGTGGAGTCAGGGCTAGTTCAGCGTTCAAGGTTAGCGTTCTTCCCACCCCATCACAGCCACACCAGGAGCAGTGAGAGCAGCCTGCCCCACAGCCCAGGCTGGCCTATCAGGATATGGCCCAACTCAGAAAGGAAAGCTCTGCACCTTTCCAAAGCTCTTGCCCAACCTTCTCTCATTTCTCCTTCCCAGCCACCCGGGAAGGTGGGGATCACTGTCCCCATGTGACAAGTGAAGAGACTGGGGCACAGGAAGGAGACCAGGGGTCCCTAGACGTAAAAATTTCACATGGGCCAGTAATATTCCAACATATATTTGGAGGACCCGCACTGGGGTTGTCAACTTCTGCCAGCACAAGATATTTCTAAAACTATCAGCTATTTTCATCATCATTTCATAAAGAAAAGATCCTGCCAATACCAAAAAGAGGATGAAGGACATAACTGCAGAATATAAGACCCTCCTTTAAGTTGAACAAATAGAGCTTTTCATTGTCCTCATTTCTCTCAAGTGTAGAAGCCCAGTGAACAGAAACTCTTCATGGACCAGCATCAGGATACCGTGGGCCTGGCTCCCACCCTGCTTCCTCACCCCGCAGGCAGTCACTTGCCAAGTCCTACCCATCCTAACAGCCGTGGCTTCTAGAATCCTCCCAGTCCCTTCCACTTACACTGCTTCTGACCTCCTCCAGGCCCTTAGTTCCCTTTGGCCTGGACCTTGCAGGTGACAAGCTGTTTACAGCAAGGATAGTCACACCTTCTGCCCACAGAAGGCAGGGAAGGGCCTCACTGCCTCGAAAGCATTTGTCTTGTCAATAAGTGTGAAGTGAATTCAGGCCTCAGCCTGGGGGCTCTGGTGAAGCACTCTGGCTGAAAACTAGACCCCAAGGCCACGGGCTAGCATTGCCTCTGTCTCTCTCTCCTTTTCATCTTGAGGGAGAGAGGGAAAGAGGAAACTGCTTGGGAGAAGCAAGTTAGGGGCCACCTTTCCCCACTGATAA